CTTATAAGATGTTTATGATGTGTTATTGGATGACATTTGTTTTTGCAAGTTTATTAATTATGACTTATTATAATAACATTATGGAATTGAAAACCTTATGTATCTCCTCAGGTTTCCCAACCTAACGCACTCAAATTATATGCATTACAGGTAGCGATATTAAGACTGTTGAAGATTGGAATAGGATGATAGGTGATCAAAGAGAAGACCTGCAATAGTATTCATGATCATTAGGTCTTTACGATGTAACATATGTTGTGTATCGAGTATGACATCCATAAATTTTTTGATATTTTGAAACAATCATTTGTATTCAAATGTTTTAATATACTAGGATTTTCCAGCAATTAAAGATGTAATGATGTTAAAGAGTAAAGAATATTTTTCGGTTATGGAAAATTGGGGATGTCACAGAAAGCTACCATGGCGTGGTTTCGCAGTCAGGAAACAAATTTAAGCCTGTTAAGAGCTCGTCCTCAACCATTTTCTCTTGAAATCGGTTAGATAGCTTGAAGATGACGATTTTGATGCCAACACCATGCCAAGACAAGCTAGAGATGGTGGATTGCTTGGATTATCATCATATTCCTCCTAAGTTAAAGATTTCTCCCTATGATTAAACTTTGAGCCTTGATGATGAGATTTTTGGATTGACTAGAATGGTTAGTTGTTCAACCTATAGCTTCTCTATGATGATAATGAGAGTGTTTAGAAGCGTTGAGCAAGCTTTGGAGGTGATTTCCATGGTGAAATCATCAATGGAGAGTTTGAGTTTCAAACCTTAACTAGTGAGATTAATGAATTGGTGCAATAGAGATTAGAGTGTAATGAATTAGGTAGTATGGGATGTTTAATTCATTGGGTGGAATAGATTTAGAAGTAGAAAATGAGATGTTAAAATTATGATCAATTGAGTGGGCATTTTTAGACAGAAAGAGATTAAGCTCTTAATATGCCAAGAGAAGTTCTAAGAAGCTTGATTATGTTGTATGAATAGGCCTTGAGCAAAGAAGATGGATCAAGATGCATCAATGGATGATTGAAAGCAAAAGGGGTAGTTAGTCTTCACTAAAACAAGGTGAGTTATAACTCTCACTGTCTCACTAGATGATGAGTATATGCTTTATAATCTTTTGTATGTGTGTGTCTATATATATATATATATATATATATATATATATATATATATATATATATATATATATATATATATATATATATATATGCATGTATGCTTAGATGTAAAGGCATTATGTTAAATGCCCACAAGTTATTAGATGGAGATAGTGCATGGTTATAAGAAATATAACCTTATGGATGGTTAAGTATGCATGTTAAATGCTAAATGATATTGTGTTCAATACTCATAACATATTAGATGAGAGAAAGAGTATGTATGTATGTTAGATACTAATGGTATTTTGTTAAATACCTACAAGTTATAGATAAAAAAAGAGTAGGATTATATGGATGATAATCATGTAAATGAATATGTATGTATGGTTAGATGAGAAGGGTATTATGTTAAATACCTAAGAGATGTTAGATGAAGATAGATTATGATTATATGTATTATAATCATGTGAATGAGAAAGTATGTATGTTAAATATTAAGGCTATTATGTAGAATACATATATGTCATTAGATGGAGACATAAATCAAGTACTTAATGAGTTAAGTACTAGATGGGTAGAAGAGGATTTCTCGAATGAAATGAGAAGATAGAATGTCCTTGTAACAAATATGAAATATTATGAGAAGGGTAGAAAGATTATTCCTTCGGGAATGAGATAGAGATTCCTTTGGGAATCAGAGTATGATTCTTTGGGAATGAGGTATGATTCCTACGGGAATAAGAGTATAATTCCTATGGGAATAAGAGTATGATTCCTTGGGAAATGAGATTATGCTTCATTTGGGGAATGTGGATAGATGATTCATGCGGGAATAAGATTTGGTGTGGTTAGAGAAGATAGAGGAAATGTTCCATGAGTGGGAAAAGGTAAGAGAGTTCTTTAGAGAACATAGATATAATTTGCAGGGGATCAAAGGGTAAAGGATCCATAGAGGGTGAGAAGTGGATATTAGAGATGTAGAGTATGGGAATGGTAAAGGAAAAAGATTAGAGTGGCGGATAAGAAGAAAAGATGAGATGTGATGAATATAGAGTAAGAGAGAGAAAAGTAAGAGAATAGCATGAGACAAGATGAAGATAGAGTATGAGCCTGAGAAGATGCGAAGATAAAGATGAGATAAGCTTGAGAAAAGGTGCAGATAGAGTATGGGATGAGCAAAGAGAGAAGATGAGAATGCATGAGATGAGATAGAGCAAGAGTAGAGAGATGAGATGAGATATAGAAAACGTATGAGAAAAAGTTAGAAAAGAGTAGATGAGATAAGATGAAGTGATAACAACATAGATGAGATAAGAAGAGACGAGAATAAAGGAGAAGTGTATGGAAATAGGAGTATAGAAGAGTAGATTCTGGGAAGATGAGACAAAGAGAAAGAGCAGGAAAAGAAAAGAGTAGAATGTTAAAGTATGAAAAGAAAGAAAGTAGAGAGCATAGTAAAAAACATCAAAACATAGTATGATCTAACTCACTAGACCTGATGTCTAATGTTATAGATTTTTCATGTTTTTTATGTTCAGGTAGTAGCCGTTGTACAAGAGGAGATAGGAGCACAAGGACTGGACTAGAAGTAGATTGTATTTTTTTTTTTTTAGTATACCCTTGTTTTAAATTATGATTTTATTGTAAACCCGAAATAGCCTGGGATGTAAAAATGTTTTTGAAGTTTTAGAAGTCCACAAATTATATAGAAAACTCTGATAATTCCCCATATATTTTTGTAGAAAATTTGCCTCATTACATACATAGGTTCAATAAGGCCACACTCAACGCACCCAAATGAGCCCTATTTAAGAAACTAGTCAACAAAAAACTGAAGTCACGAAAGGAACTAATAGAAAGGGTCCATATGTTCTTAAAGCAAGAAGAGGCACAGGAAAAATGAAAGGAGATGGAGGAGAAAAAGCAAATCATAACATCACAAGTGAACACGGAATATCAATATCAAGCTAACAATATCACACAACCAAATTAACACATATATCCCTACATCAAATACCAGCCATCAAACATGCCAGGTCAGTTCAAAAAATTTCAACATGGAAACAGATTAATAAATCGAAACGATTTAACTAAAGTAGTAGATAACAAGCAACAAACAGCGAACAAATGAACTGAAAAATACCCACCAAGAGACTATGAATTCCATGGAACAACAAGACACGACACAATCGAATGTAGCATGTTAAAATGAGAACTTGAAACCAAGATCTAGTCAGGATATTCGAACGAACTTTCCGAGGGTTAAGAATGAAACAACTGGAAAACATTGCACCACCAAAGAAAGGGGAAGGATGACAATGAAAAGAGAAATCTTGATGTTGCAATACAATAGAAACGTGTAGTAACTTTCCTGAAAAAACTTGCCCCATTATGGTCATTAACGACCAAAATGGTCCTCCGATACATCGACCCATGCACGAGCAAAATCCGTCTCTTCTATCGAGGTCCAAGCTGTAATCTAGGACTTCCCTATCGGAATCGAATTAAGAGTTTGAAGAAAACCCTTTGCAAAGATAGAACTAGAGCAGTAAGATGAATGTTGATGGTTTTGAGAGTAGTAAGAACTGGTGTTAGTTTTTTGTATTTTATTGTGGAGAAACTTGATAAAATTTTAAATTCATGTTAAAAACAATTAAAAAAAAATAAAAAATAGATAAAATGTAGCAAAATCCTGCCAAGTGAGAGTTTCGAACTCATCAACTAAATTTTTTTGTCATGGAGTGGGGGTTGTAGACATTATTATTTAAAAATAAAAATTTAAATTAAATGAAAAAAATCGTGAATAAAATATGCAAAATGTATATTAGTCATTTTATTTGGACATTGACCATAACCACATTAAACCCTAAAACCCGACATCTTTTTGCCAAAAAAAGAAATATAACTAAAGTTTTAGGAACTTAATCCAAACAAAAGTGCAAACCATCGAACAACCTTTGCAGTTTATTTAAAAATAGTTAAAACAAAAAAAAACTAAACAAAATATAAAAACAAAAGTAGTTTTTTTCAAAATGAAAACCCAATCGGAATTGTGCACACCTTAAACTATTCGGTGTGGGCAAGAGTGTTCCCATGTTATTACATGTTTATAACATGAAGTAAAGGTGGTGCTCCCATGTTCTTACATGTTATAACATGGTGTTGAGAGAGAGAGAGAGAGAGAGAGAGAGAGAGAGAGAGAGAGAGAGAGAGAGAGAGAGAGATTTGATTAGGTGTTATCTCTCATTCTCATTACCACATCCTAATAACATCACATCTAATAACACAAGGTTGGGGTGGTGTTTCAGCAGTTATCACGCGTTTTTAGGTTGTCACGTCATAATAACAGAAGTGGACATTGCCCACACCTAGTAGTCTTATAAAATCCTATTGGCACACCTTATGAAAAAAAAAAGCCAACTTATTGTTTGATAAAACCACAAAATAACTTATTTTAGTTTATCAACCAACTTTTGATAAGCTATTTTGAGATAGTTTTTGATAAGATTATGGAGCTTTTTCAAAAATATTCCAAATATGTCTTTATTTATATCTATTCCTTTTTTTCTTTAAGTTATATATCTAAATATTCATTTATGTCATTTTACATTGCAATCTAGCTTATAAGTTATTTTTTACCAAACAATATTAATTCATAAGCTAAGTTATCAACTAGTCTGTCAAATAGAGCCAAAACATAATCCATTATTGATTTCAAATATCCCACCTTCATAAGATCCTATTTCACACTTTATAACATCATATAATCATATAAGCACAAAACGAGAACAAGTAGACATTAAAACAACCATTACTCGGTCTCCAATTAGTTTGGACTACTAAACGAACTTAAGCAGAAACAAAAGAGATCATGTCTCTAATTCTCATCACGTCTACATATCATCATATTATATATTCTCCTATAAGAACACCAACCAAGACCAAAAGACGAAAACGACCCTCAAAACTATATGGACACAAGAGTTTTAGCAGTAGTAGAGACTTTATTGAGAAGTTGGGGGCATATAGACACTAGTAGTAGTAGTAGCTTATAAACATAAGAAAAAGAAAGGCACTAGGGGTGCAACAGGTACCCGAAATAAAGGCTCACAAGTGCCACCATAAAGACAAACAGCAATGGAAATCCCACCTGTGCCCTATGTCTCTTACTTCTCAGCAAATCCTGCAACAACAAGGGTAAATCAGTCATTTACTATTTTGTGCATTAAGTCATTTACAACAAGACTATATGCTATTTAGGCAAACAAAAACTCAACAGCTTAAACGATTAATACCAATGCAATAATCACATGTCAAATGAATCTTGTGTTGTTTCATGATATTCTGACATTTTTTTCTCTCTACTTTATTTAACAAATCAAGGGATTATAAATAATTTAGTTCCAAGGATAATAAACAAATAAACAAATGAATTTACCAATTCTCCCTGTAAGAAGTGTTTCTCTTGAGTAGCCGATCTTTTTTCTTCTGTTAATTGTAAAATAGTTGCTTTAGCCTGAGGAAATCAACACAACACTTGATTAATATAAAAACATCAAAGTTGAATAAAGCTAAAAAATTATTAAAAAAAACATCTAGTATTTTTTTAAACCGACCTCAGTAAGATTTGACTCGAGTCCTTTGACTATTGACTTCATCTCTTCAACAGCTTTAGCTAATCTCAGCACTTCCATATCATTCATCTGCACAGATTCTTCATTTCTTTTTATAAATTCTCTGTTCTGTATTACATAATCTTCATTCTTTTTTACAACTTCTTCTTTCTTTTTCACAGGTTCTTCATTCCTTTTTACAACTTCTTCTTTCCTTTTCATAGGTTCTTCTTTCTTTATTACCTCTACATTTTTAGCATCTCCTTTGGACATTTCCATGCCCTCATCAACCTAACATAAGTTAGAAAGTAATTATTCATTCAATTCTCTCTTCGACTACTGAATACAAAAACTATTACCTTGGAATGAGAGGTATGTTTTTGAACAATTTCATCTTTCACTTCTCTGTCATCATCTTTTTGCACAATCTTTAATGTTTCATTGATTGGTGATGATTCAGGTGAGTCTGGTGGAGATATGAGGATCACTTTAAGCCTCTTTTCATCAACAACTTTACCATCTCTAACAAACTGTTCAAATTTATAAATCAGGTAAAGAAATTACTATTAAAAAAAAGGACTTCAAACATTTTCAGAAAAAAACAAACCATGTTAGAGGTGACATCTTCCTCCTTTGTTCCCTCTGGGACATATGTACTTTGAACTAAGAATTTGTCCCTGCATATCATGTCAGGAGGAGCTACCTTTGGTGCTTGCATAGTAACTGCATTTTGAACAAAAAGTAATTCAGGAGAAATTTTAACCAAAAAATGTTTCAAAACTTTCAAGAAACAAGCTTATACCTGAAAATTCACATGCTGAATGTGGATCAATAACTCCAGTATTTGGTCTGACACAATATTTCTTTGGATTAGTAGTCTTGATCTGCAAAATGTTAACCAAATGGTTAACTCTGCTGCTATTCAAGTTTAAAAAGCAAAACAAGGTTTGAAAATTTTGAAACATGGAAAACTGCCAGCACCTTGAAAGCAACATGGTGATCGGTTTTATTGATCATTTGAATAGAACATGTGCTTTGTTTCTTCAGTTCAACTGGAGTGAAACATGGGATACCATTGGAAAAAGTTAGTTACATGTTTACAAATATACAATAATGTGCATGCTTGTATAATTTAATTTCTAAACATATCCATCTATGGGGTAGGGATGATGAAGGAGAGGGGTTGTTTTGAAGCTTTTTTTTCTCCTTTTTAGTTGGAAGTTACAGGTACCTCACCCCTCACCTTGCTGTCTCTTGTTTTGTTGTTAGGATAAGTCACTTTGCTTGCATTCAAGTACTCAAACCTCAACAAAGCAAGGTGTACAGATTATACCTTTCCCTTTTGACAGCAATTGGCTTAGTAGATACAAGGGTAAAGGCATGAAAATCACAAGTTGTCTATTATTTTGTGAGGGTTACTAGTGTGGTTTCTCGCGATTATACATAGCTCTACTATCTTTTTATCAAATTGAGCTTCATTTCACTTAACTATCACTTCTAGCAGAATTGTCATCTAATCAAACGAATCAGACAAAAAAAAAGATAGAGAGAGGGAAAGAGAGCAATCAGCTTACATAAGAACGTAAGTTCTTGCGGTTGAACCTCCAAAATATCTGGTTTCATCTTCGCATCCAAGAGTCAAACAAAAGAAAAAGTGATATATTTAGTCCTTTCTCCTGAAAACGAAGACATAATCGTTACAAAATAAACCCTAGCTAACATTAAACGCCAGACATATATAGTCACTAAAACACAGAGTATAACAACAGATGCTCTTATAAGCTTTGATCTCATACATCAAATCATAGACGGAAGTAAACACAGTTCTAAAATTATAGAAAACGACGAACTGACTCGATTTGAACGAATGTAGCCGATTAAAATTGAAAGCATGCATTTGATCAAAAAGTGAAGCGAAGATTTGAATTCCATGAAAAGAAGAATCACCTGAAAGGGCGAGAAAAGCAAGAAGGAAATTGACGAATTGAATGTAGCGATGAATTTAATGGGGGAGATAGAATCGGTATTTGAAAAATGGAGTAATGATTCCGTAACGGCTGGGTTGTTGATTCGATTCGATTGGGATTCGATACTGTGTCTGTGGGCCTTGATTGAATCGAGATCGAGAGAAACCCTAATTCAAAATCGGGAAAAAAATGGTTTGGTAGAGAGGAGGGGCTGACACGTTGGTGATGCACGCATTCACACTGACGAATACAATTGCGCTTTTGCGCCCAAAGAAGAATTGAACGCCAAGTTTTTGAAGGCAGTTTGTTGTTAGGAAGACTACTAACGGCAATTGGACACCACCTTGGCTTGGCTGCTACTCTTTGGCTTGGCTCAACTTGTAAATTTTATATTCATAAAAATTACCAATCAAAATTTGGTTGCTAACATATAAAAAAGGAAGAATTATCGAAAATACCAAACTACACCCTTATTGACAAAAAAATACAAAAAAAATAGTAGGGATAATGACTTGAAAGGGTAACGAACTTTCGATTTTGTTCACATTTAGTCACTAAACTTTTTTTTTCGTTATCTATTTGTCATTGAACTATTGAAACTGTTCACATTTTACCCTTATGACCGGCTGTTACCGGTCATAAGGGTAATATGTGAACAGTTTCAATAGTTTAGTGGCAAATAGATAACGAAAAAAAGTTTAGTGACTAAATGTGAACAAAATCGAAAGTTTGTTTCCCTCTAAAAAGTTCAGTGAGTAAATGTGAACAAACTTCCTCTTGTATTATGTTTTAGCAAATTATTTATTTTTGTTAAAATGTAGCAACATTTGTTGATGAAGAAATCTATGAAATAAAAAAACAAAACCCCGAAAAATATATTAAAAAAAACGAAAAACCGAAACCGAAATAAAAACCAATGGTTTGGTATTTTCCAAAATAAAAAATCACAATTTTCCAATCTGATTTTGGTTTTTATAAAAATTCAACTTTCGGATTTCCATATCTAAATCCCTCCCCCTTTTTATAATCGACAAATGATTATAAAACTAAAAAAAGGAATGAGAAAGCGCTCAATTCAGAATTTTCTATCCAAAACTCCCCCTTTATGACATGAGAGATAGAGAGAGAGACATGTAAACACGTCTATATAAGGTGGGTTCATACCACATGTAGAGGTGTGCTTGAGAGATGTAACATTGAGAGTGTTAGTGTGTGTTAATTATGTAGATTTAGATCTAGATCTTTTTTTGTAAACACCTTTCATAATCGAATGCATCTCTTAAACACGCAAATCACCGTGTTCTTTGTGTGTTATTTAATTTTGCATGCCAAACCAATGGTCATAATTCACATCAGTGAGAATGGTTCATTTTTTTCTAAAACCAAAATCAGATTGGAAATTTTGATTTTTTATTTCCAAATATTATAAAACTTTTGTCCTTGTGTAGTTCAATACATATCGATTGAAGGCAAACGGGCAACAAGCTGCGCCGCTAGCCCTTTCTGGATAGCAAAACCAATTCTTTTGAAAACTACATTTGTGGATCTAGGAGATATGACATTAGAATGCATGACCCGTTGGACTCTATTGAGGAGCTCCACCGCCTCTGGTGCGAGAAAACCAAATGTATCGAATGCAAAAGGAACAAACACATGTTGATTTGCTATACATGCATTCTCGTGCTTACCACTTTGCACGCAACGGCTTTCAAAGCGGCATGCCCAGCTGTGAAACCCCCGCTCCCTAAACCAACGAGAGGAGAGACCTAAGTAAGATCCGCGCACGCATGCTTCCCTCCTATCCATCCAAAGACCAAAATGTCAGCCGGTCTAAGTGTGGACCTTCCATCCTGCGGGTCCGTCAAAAAGTTCACTGGCGCTTCTTTCTTCACAAAAATACCAGCACGCCGACAAGCATCAAAGAGAACATCCCGAACCACATCATGTCTATACTTGAAACCAGGGAGCTCTCTACAATGAACCGCGTGTTCCCCAAAGGTATCCAAACATGCCTTGCGACAAACTGGACATATCTCGTCAATTGGGAATATGGGAATCATGAGGCGGTAACGAAGGATAGTTCGGTACTCCACAGGAGACATATGTTGGCCAAGACCATCAATAGGGATAGTTAGCAGAAAATCCTGAGCATGAGGCGCTCGCAGACACTCAAAGACTGCTTTCTGTCTGACAGTCATGTCAAAGTCGACTTCCATATCTTGGACGATTTTGCTAAAAAGGGCACACGCCAAAGCTTTTTGGGATTTAGGGGGGGCGGTGTCCTTATTAGTGAAACCGCTACAGTCAAATCCCGGAATCGTATTGCGAAGACGAGTCATAGCACATAGGTAATCCGAGTCCATACCACATACGCCACTGTCACGTAAGATGTGGTCTTGTAATGCCCAAGATTGGGCCCTCGAGGCTATAAATGCGTAGGAGGAAACCTCGTAGGCCGAGTACAAACCCAAACCACCGAAAAGAATAGGTAAGGAAGCCAAGCGCCACTGAATGTCTCCAAAGAAGGGGCCTCCACATACCACCATATCCTCGATAGACCTGCGCAATCCTTTGTCAAAGAATAACGCTGCCTCTTTTATGTGTATCGGTTGGCATGTCCTTAAACCAAAGAAAAGTTTTGCAATGCCCATACATGATCGAAGCAAAAGGAGCTCACTCTGCGGGTCACATAGTTGTGGAAGAAGGCCCATCAAATCAACAGCATTGACCGCTCTCTTCATGGCCAGCCCGCTAATAAACACTGCGTCTCTGCTAACAACCCCCCCAAGGAGCTTCACCCCCAAAGAAGGTCTCCCTATATCCGTTGGGAATAAATCGGCACGAAGCTTCCTACCATCACAGGAGGGTCAAAAAATCTCCGTTTTCTTGATGTTCATCTCCAGACCCAAACCTGGACCATGCAACCGAATTATGTTCACCGTTTGGGCAACAATGGAAGCTTCTGAATGGGCACAGACAAATATCACTCGAACTTGTGGAAGAAGAAGCCATACAAGAGAACAAGCCTCGAGATGAAGCTAAAACTATGAAACAATATTTAACAAGGAAGGGAAGGAAATGGCACACCAACACAATGTTGGTGTGCACAAGAAGCATCCAAACTAAGCAAACTATATTATCTTGAACAATAAGGCTGCAGCACGAGAAAAACTAGTTTAGGCATTTTATCAAACACTTGGTGGGCAGCAAAATTGGCTTCTTAGAATTTCATCTTCTTCCATTGAAACATCAACCCAAAATCTCTAATTTAATGAAGATAATCCTCAAAGCATGCCTTACTTAATCCCACCAACAATTCATTTGCTCTGATTTTGTAACCAAATTCTGAAGTCAAATATTCCCGATTTCAGAACCTCTTTAAAAGTTCAGCACGTCACAAGATATTTCAGAAATCCTGTAACTTGTAGAATGGAATCAAAACAGAAATTAACGAAGATAGCGAGAGTGTATGCACGTATGTTGAAAAAGACTTATGGCGATGGTGGTTAACTCTGCAAATTGAAGATGCGCTGTGACTTTTGGTTGGCTAAATTCACACGTAAGGTTCAATTGTTCGTAAGTTCATTGACTTTTAAGAAAACCACTTCTTATTTCAAGTCAGCAAGAGAATGGTCTTCATCAACAAATGTCAAACCATTGGTTTTTTATTTTGGTTTCGGTTTTTTGTTTTTTTTTTAAATATATTTTCAGGGTTTTGTTTTTTTTATTTCATACATTTATTCATCAACAAATGTTGCTACAATTTAACAAAAATAAATAATTTGCTAAAACATAATACAAGAGGAAGTTTGTTCACATTTAGTCATTGAACTTTTTAGAGGGAAACGAACTTTCGATTTTGTTCACATTTAGTCACTAAACTTGTTTTCGTTTTCTATTTGCCACTAAACTATTGAAACTGTTCACATTTTACCCTTATGACAGGTAACAGCCGGTCATAAGGGTAAAATGTGAACAGTTTCAATAGTTCAATGGCAAATAGATAACGAAAAAAAGTTTAGTGACTAAATGTGAACAAAGTCGAAAGTTCGTTACCCTTTCAAAGTCATTATCCCAAAATAGTATGACCAATGAGTCTGCAGAGGGTCATTTGAATTCTCGTTTCTCTTTTATAAAGTGGGATAATGACTTAAAAGGGTAATATATTTTTCGATTTGTACACATTTGGTCACTGAGTTTTTTTTCGTCCACATATACCCCTTCAACTTGTTAAACTGTATGCATTCAGTCCTTATGACCGGCTACTCCAGGTTACCCGGTAAAAATGACTTAATAGGGTAATATATTTATCACTTTGTACACATTTAGTCCTTAATATTTTTGTACACATTTAGTCCTTTTTTTTGGCAAAATAAGTCATTTTTTTTATTCATTCAGTACTTATGAATGATTTTTTAGTTTTTTCTCACGAAATCTTACGTGGGACATTCATTAATGAGGTGTATGAGGCTTTTGATGCTTATATCCATCGCGATCTCGACTACTTGGTTGCTTAGGTCATGTGTTATGAACGTCATAACTTCTTCATATGATCTCGGATTTTAACGATCTTTATATCTATGCGTTCGTATTTCAGTCTACTACAACTTTCATTTAGATTACTCCCATTAAAAAATAATATATTTTTACTTAACGATTTTTATATCCATACGCGGTGGCGGATTTAGTATGGTCCCGGTGTTGCACCGACAACACATGTTTTTTCTGTTCGCAGTGGAAAATTTTTCGCTTTTTTTTTTTTACGTTTATATCTATTTCATCTCGGCAACACCTACTATGTATTACTGCGTCTTCCCCTGTCCATACGTTTTTTATGAATGCATGTATGTATATTTTTTTTATAAAATCGTTAGTAAAAATATATTACATTTTAACGGGAATAATTTTAATGAAAGTTGTAGTAGACTTAAAAAATGAACACGTTGATAAAGATCCTTAAAATCTGATATCGTATGAAGAAGTTACGATGTTCAAAATACAAGACATAAGCCAAACCACAAGACTTACGCAACCAAGCAGTCGAGATCGCATTGGACATAAGCATCAACAACCCCAAACACCTCATCAATGATTGTCTCACGTAAGATGTCGTGAAAAAAAACCTAAAGAAATCATTCATAAGTACTGAATTGGTACAAAAAAAAGACTTATTTTGAAACAAAAAAAATGTTAAGGATTAAATATGTACAAAAATATTAAGGACTAAATGTGTACAAAATGAAAAATATATTACCCTATCAAGTCATTTTTTCCGGCTAACCTGGAGTAACAGGTCATAAGGACTGAATGTGTACAGTTTAACAAGTTTAAGGGGTAAATGTGGACGAAAAAAAAAAACTCAGTGACCAAATATGTACAAATCGAATAATATGTTACCATTTTAAGTCATTATCCCTTGTAAAGTTGTAATGGTCAAATATCAATGACATTTTCGTAATTTTACGTTATTTCGCAGTATGGACCACCAATCCGCACTATCCTCTATGCGGGTTAATGGTATCATCTACGAACTTAGCAGTATAAATTTTGATAAATCATATTTTTTGTTTTATTCCGAAAAATTGTTTATGTCAGAAATGTAGATTTGTGTTTGGAATTCATATTATAACTTTTTATTTA